AGAGGGAGCTCAGCCAATGTAAGTCTAAGGCAAATTTTTGATTTTTAATAATTATTTATCCGAAAACTGTAAGTCTGCTCAGTCTGAAAAGATATAGCAACAAACTACACATCAGGGCCCAGGTCTCTGCCGAGTTCGGTGCATGTAGCATGAAAGCCCTAAGGAGGAGATACAGTCAGAAATGTTAGTCTAAGAAGAAGAATAAGTAGTTTATATAGCATAACAGTATGTTGGCTGTCTCAAGCCAACATAATGATTTCTGAAGAACTGAAGGATCATGTGACACAGAAGACTAGAGTAATGACTAATGAAAATTCAGCTTTGCCATCACAGAAATAAATTATATTTTTAAATTTCAGATATTGAACAAGGCGAGGTTAGTTCAGTTTAAATTCTGTAAAGTGTCATGTGCTACGATATCCCCAAAACATAATGATATTTATAAATGAATAATCCACAATATCTGTAAAAACCTTCTCACCTTGAAAATATATTTACGATTAATATGTGTACCTTTGCATCTATTCAGTGTGTGAGGAAAATATGTGCAAAAAAAGACTTTTTACTTGATGGTTAAATCGCATTTTTAATTATTTTAGTCATTAAAATTAAAACTTTTCTTAAATGATATTAATTTTTTTTTTTAATCATAGGAAACAAACATTAAAGTTTATTTAAATAGAAAACTCTTATTTTAAAATGTTGTTACAAAATGTATCATACATAAAAAAAAATAAATAAATAAAATAAAAAAAATATATATATGGATGGATGGATGGATGGTCTGAAATATTTATAAAATGTAATTGTTTGATGTTTTCATGGTAGTCTATATGTCCCTAGGTCTCCTTCATTGAGATTCAGAGTCGAGCTTGCAAGTCATGGGTACTTAACCAGACTAAAAGCCTGTGAATTATTTACACTGTCTGCTTCAACAGGCCCATGCATGTGTAGAGGGAACAAGGGATATTAGAAGAAAGCAATTACCATAAAAAGGGAGAGATAGAGAGAGAAAAACAGACCTATGATTTAAATTAACCATCAGTGAGTCATCACCACAAAGACAGTATTGACGTCTGAAGATGAATGTCTCCGATAAACTAGCAAAGGAATCTTTGATGAGTTTACTAAAAGACTACCAATTAATAGGTCGTATACGCTCGGCCTACATCAACTGAGATTTGTTTGATTTAAAGATTTAATGATAAAAGACTGAAGGGTACAAATTAGACTGGATGGCTCACTCAGTTTTTCCACGGATTTCCATTGGAAATTCAAGCAGATGTTGATTCTGAAATGTAATTAATTAATTCCATCATTCATCATCTGAGATTAAGCTGATTTAAATGGAGTCTCGGTCCACAGGCATCCTACAAACCTCCTTTGTGCTGAAACCAGTCCAGTCTTAAAGGGATAGTTACACACTCTCATTTCAAACCTGCATGCTGTTTGTTTTTCTGTAGTACACTAAAGATTTGTTTTTCCCACACAGATCTTTTACATATAACAAAAGTCTGTACAGCACCATAAAGTATAATAAAAGCAGTCCATGTAAACTCTTGAACTATATTCCAAGTCTTCTAAATCATACGATGTGTAAATCATTCAATGCGCTTTGCATGAAAAACAGGCCAAAATTCAAGTCATTATTCCATGAAAATCTTCCTCATCCAGTAAACTGTGACCGAAACACTCGAGTAATTTTACTGATTAAGAACCAGATTATAATGTTGGGTCCGAGTTGAGTCCAAATCCTTAACCAACTGAGTTTGAGTGGGAGATGTTTATTAATGTCTTGTTTTTTTAATTTTATGTTGTTACTTTTTTTAAAGAGCAGGTCATAAGGTATTTTAAAGTGTCCTAATATTGTGTTGGAGTACCCTACAACAGGTTTAAATGCATCTAAGATCAGAAAACATTGTCAATTTCTCAGAATATACATTTAATATTAGAATAATTTTTCAATGATTTCGAAACGATTCCTTCGAAGCAGTTCTGAGCTTCTGGGGCCTCATTTATAAAACGTGCGTATGCACAGATTTGATCATAGAGTGTGCGTACGCAAAAATCCACGGCAACGTTCATATTTATAAAAACGGTCTTTGACGTGGAAAAGAGCTTAGCGCCACGTCAGGGTCTGAGCAGACGTACGCACTTTTGTTTGCCCGAGTGCTGCAGATTTTTGGAAATATAAGTCATTCTTGCCGCTTGTAAAAGATTTGGACATTGTCAGGTGCTCTTTTATAAGTCAAGGACATTAATTAGACATTGTTTACAGGGCGGAGATCTGAAACTGTTCAGCTGCGCACAATTTCAAGATCATTGCAATTTATAGATTTCACATCTAAAAGAGAGGCGTACACACGTTTTCTGTGCGTACGTTCGTTCTATGAATCACACGTACGCACTTTGAGAAATGATCGTAAAATCAAATTTAGGATTCTTTCTACGCAGTATTTTATAAATGAGGCCCCAGAAGGCGAATGTTTAGACTAATACTACGCACATCACAAACCCATCTTTTTAGGTAAGTACCAGATATGGGTGTCATGTCATAAAATATTTTAATACTGAATTTGTATTTAACGTGATCACAATTTAATAAAACATTGTAAGTTATGCTTTAATTTCCACTTTTATTCACAGCGAATAAATTACAGAGAGAAAGTGAACAAAGAACTTAGGCTACATTATCAAAGAACATTATGACTTTTAAAAACTAAAAAAGAAAAAAAAAAACTCGCACGTGAAGGCAGCAGAGAAGCGCTCAGCACAGTGGAGTGCATCGTTTTGTTAATAATAACTTTGTGGTTTATTATGTTGAGTCGTTTGGGACGCGGTAACACACGGCCCTCTCACAATATATTGCTTTACAGATCTATC